CTTCGGCCGAATATTTCGGGTTTCGTGGCTAGTTTGTCGCCTTCGGCATAGAGAATAGTCCAATATTTGCCCGCAAGCATAAAACGATCCGTGTAATAGATGGGGTATTCCCCTGTTTCTTCACTGGATACTTGGGTAGTTGTCGACTGAGTAGCACATCCTCAGGATGACCACACTTTATCCTTCTACATTTTGTTGCATGTCTCATATGTGCGAAGAAAACTTTAGAATAGAAAGTAACTTTCTCCATTCTCTTACAGCACCCTAAAAAATTTTTTTGGAGCGATAATTCAGATTTAAAAATATCATAATTTATTGGCATCAAATGGCTACTATACTTCGATGGAAAGCTAACATGAACCCAACCGATCGAACCACTAAAAGCGAGTGTGAAACATAGTTTCACTTTCGTTGTTACAGCTCACTAAAAAGCCTAAAGCCAAATAAGCTATCATAATCACCGAACTCTGAACTACTCAATGATTACCTAAGGTCCAAGGGGAAAGCTTTCTTCATGGAAATAGGTAAGTCCCATAAGGGTTTCAGCGTTTTGTTCTAGACGACCTGACATCGCATGCACTATACAACATTATTGACGAGCTATTCATTGTTTTTTCTGATTTTTAATCACTACAATAATTTTTGAGTAATGCATCTAATCAGATATATCGACACTAATAGATTTATATCATATTCTTTGTACAACTTATTACAATTAACAGAATTCTTATTCACATATAAGAATTATAACTGCACCAAAAGCATACGGAAGAGTAGAGAAAACGGTGGATTGTCGAAGTACTAAGTATCACAAGAAAACTAGAAATACTTCCAAAACGGAGAAAAAACTCCTAACTAATCAACCAGAATTTATCCGCCAGCGATTTCAACTGCGGTCCCGAAAGGGTTTAGAATTTTTCTCAAACACTAAAGTCATTGCTGTGAAAATACTTCGTGATCTGAGCAAATGATAATGAAAATTTCCACACAGGGTGAGTCTATTAGAAGTTGTAGATGGGGACTTCACTGCTAGATTCCCTTGGCGTTACACATCTCTGATTAGAGGTATCAAAGTCCGGGATTTCCACGTGGATGCGGCTGTGTTTTTAATCTGGTAATCATTTTTGGGCCACGCATGTCGATGGTCTATTAAAGAGGGCTGACTTATAAAGCCCGATACACGTGGTTTCGATCTTGCTCGAACTGCCCGATTGACGAGATCGCAAGATCGAAACACGTGCATCGGGCTCTAAAGTCAGCCCTCTTTGATAGACCACTGACATGCGTGGTTCAAAAATGATTACCAGGCATACTGAAATTTGAGCAGTGATCTTAAGAAAACACTCGAAACGAAAGATATAAGTTTTTGATCGTTTTTCTTCAAAACATTGACAATAAGGCGAACTAGACGAAGTAATGCAGAAATACTGCCCATCGTGATAAACTGGACCAAACGTATGCAACTGAACAGAAATAGTGTCTTAAATTGGAAATTTCGAACAATATTAGGAAATTTTGAACAATATTCATGCAGGAGCTTCGGCTGTACAGTGGTTCTTACGCGCCTTTTGAAAGGGTGACACGAGGGTTGAACACCCTCCTCCCCCCCCACGGTTCAAAGTTTTGTATATCGCTCAATATGACCAGATACTCACATTCACTTCATTTATCACTTGACTGAGCCGTATCACAACTTTTTTGCTGTGCGGATCTCAGTACTTCTGAATTCGATTTGTATCCTTTCTTGCCTCCAGGATTCACCCTCATTTTAAGGATAGTCAGGCTAAGGCGCTCCGTAGGGCGTTCATTATCTTGATTGTTGGGTAGTTTTGGGGAAGGGTGACCAACTCTGCGTCAACATCACTAACCACTCACCCACTACCCCACATGATTGGCTGCAGGACTATAATATATTCATATTATCCAATAATGTGGAGTGCTGTGCAAAAACAATGCGTCAGCCGGGATTCGAACCCAGATCTCACTCTTTCCTGGAGCGTGTGCTGAACCGTTAGACCACCGATGCTCGTTTTGCACAGCACGCTTTTTACTCCATATTATTGGGTATATTATAGGATCATGAGCGTATGTGGCGCAGTGGTTAGAGGTGCCCTGCGTCGCACACGAGGTCACTGGTTCGATCTCGCGCTCATGGCTCACCAACCATCCATCCCTCCGGGGTCGGTAAATTGGTACCAGACAGGTCTCAGACTTGTCTGGGAGGATAAGCAGCACTGACTCGGTTCAGCGGGAGGCCACCGTGAGTCATTGTAAAGGCCAGATGTGCATTCAATCACCTCAAACGAAGTTAAAAATTGAAGCCGAATGCATGGCGCATCCCTCAGGGATTGATCAACGCCGAGAGCTTTATCCTTTTATTACAGGATCATAACACCGCAAGAGGCAATCAAATAAATGAATTTCAATTGACTATTAATACCGAATATCTGTCAACATAAGTGGGTTGAATGCCGATAGCGGCTGCACCGCCAGACCGTCGACGGTTGACTGTTGACAGATAACGCGTTGTAGCGTGAAAAAAAGTGCTGTACAAAACGAGCGTCGGTGGTGTAACGGTTCAGCATACGCTCCCGGATAGAGTGAGATCTGGGCTCGAATCCCGGTTGACGCAAGTGTTTTTGCACAGCACTCCACATTACTGGGTATATTATAAGATCATAACACCGCAAGAAGCGGTTAAATAAATGAATTTCAATATTCATATCACACCTAAACAAAGTGGCTTCGCCAGATACACCTTTCTCCTATATGTGTTGTGTTTATAAGTAACCTAATAAAGTGGAAGGTTTGCGGAATTCCTTAATTTTCCCTCAGCAGATAAGAGCGAAATTTGATTCAAAGGCTTTTATGTTGTTACGACTCAAGTGCCCATGAAAAGTGTATTCCGACTGAAATCCTTTTTATTTAACCGCTTCTAGCGGTGTCATGATGTTTCAAATAGATACCCATTGATGTAAAGTGATGTGCAAAACTTTCCGGTCAGGCGGGACTAGAACCCGCACCTCACTCTTTCCGGGAATGCGTGCTCCATCCGTTACAGTACTGACGCCCATTCTGCAGACAGACAGCTGGCGGCTGATAGATAGATGCGCCATAGCGTAAAAGGAGCGATGTGCAAAATGGGCGTCAGTAGTGTAAAGGATTGAGCACGCATTACCAGAAAGAGTGAGGTGCGAGTTCTAGTCCCGCCTGGCGCTAAAGTTATGCACATCACTCTACATGAATGTAATCCGACTAATCAAAAACCGTGGTGAACTACGACGATATGGATAAACTTACGAGGACATCTTTAAGCTCTTTATCTATCTGCAAGACTTGAAGACGAGCAAGGGCGAGACGTGTTTTCCACATTCTTACCATTTCGTTGCGTTCGTTCAGTTGATCAGTGAGTGAGATAAGCCTGAACGAAAAATAGCGGATGACAAGTATATCGTAGACAAACGGCACTACCAACAGCTGTTTTTCAATCGATTGTACTACTAACTAGCTATTTTTCAATCAATAAAACTGTCAATAAACTTACTTTTCAATCAAAGTCGCAGTATCAGCAGACTCGAGCTCTTCACGATTCAACTTGATACACTTACGAGATACCAGCGCCGTTTCCGCATTCTCACTGAGTCGTTTCATCACTGAAAGGAAGGCCAACGTGGTAGAACAAAGACTGCATTCAATCAGGACAATATAGCAGTACTTCCAGTCGTTCAAAAAACCATTCCTAAGTGATTTCAAATGGATACCATATCTATAACCACTATGAGAAGGAGCAACACAGAATTCAATATGCCTTGCAAATTTTGCCCGACTGACGAGATCGCAAGATCGAAACACGTGTATCGGGCTCTATAAGTCAGCCCTCCTTTAACAGACCACTGACATGCGTGGCTCAAAAATGATTGCAAGGCATATTGAATTTTGAGCTGTGGTCTTAAGAAAACACTCGAATTGAAAACAACACAGAATTATCGAGAACAAAGATACAAACGCTCAAAAACACATTTCGACGTATTCGTAAGTTTCGAGGGGTGTAGATCTACACACGGATGATCAAACGACATGTCTTAGAACTGCCTGCTACTTATTTTTTGAGCCACGCATGTCAGTGGTCTGTCAAAGAGGGCTGACTAATAAAGCCCGACATACGTATTTCGATCTTGCGATCCCGTCAGTCGGGCAGTTACTCGTCTTTGGCCAATCCTGTGTGGGTGCTCCAATACCCACAGTGAGAGTTAGCGACGGCGAACGTTTTACACTCTATGTCCAGTGAAATTATCACCGAACACAGAGTGTTGTATGCTCGATTGCCCGTGGCTAGTATACTCAATATCTCATATCATTCGTTTCGATGGTTTCTTAAGACAACATCTCAAATTTCAATATGCTACAAAATCATTTTTGAGCCACGGATGTCGTGTGGTCTGTTGTGGAATATCGAGCATACTAGCCACGAGCAATCGAGTATACAACACTCTGCGTTCGGTGATAATTTCACTGGACATAGAGTGTGAAGCGTTCGTCGTCGCTAACTCTTAGTGTGGGAACTGGAGCACCCACATAGGATTGACAAAAGACGAGAAAGGGTAACTGCCTGACTGACGAGATCGCAAGATCGAAACACGTGTATCGGGCTCTATAAGTCGGCCTCTTTGATAGAGCGCTGACATGCGTGGCTCAAAAAATGATTATCAGGCATATTGAAATTTGAGCCGTTCTTAAGAAAACACTCGAAACTAAAGACATGCCTTAACACTTTCGGGAACGTGGACCCACGGCCTCTGCATCTCTGACTGGCAACTCTGAACGGTCACTCGATACAAGCAAATCAGAATTGGTAGAAAAGATTCTCTTATAGGATATCAGATCATCGCGATCAAAGCACCACTAACAATTGTTCCCCCGAATAACTGTTAATTTCTTATTTTACACGCTTTTGACTATCAATCTACCTACTTCAAAGTAACCATCATAGCCTGTTCGTTGCACTGGTGGTTCAGTGGTGAAAACGCTCGCCTGTCACCCGGGTGACCCGAGTTCAATCCCTGTTAATGCATCACCTCATAACGGTTTTATTCTAGAACGAGTAGAAGGATAAAAAGCTAAAAGGATAAAGCTCTCAGCGTTGATCAATCCCTGAGGGATGCGCCATGCATTCGTATCCAATTTTCTTACTTCGTCTGATGTGATTGAATGCATATCTGGCCTTTACAATGACTCGCGGTGGCCTACCTCTGATCCGAGTCAGTGCTGCTTATCCTCTCAAACAAGTCTGGGACCAGTGTGGTACCAATTTACCGACCCCGGAGGGATGGATGGCTTGGTGAGCCATGAGCGCGAGATCGAACCATTGACCTCGTGTGCGACGCAGAGCATCTCTAACCACTGCGCCACACGCGCTCGAGTAGAGGGATAGCTTAGCCTTATTGGCGATTTCACAAGAATATGTTAGGCTTCATTGCCAATTGCGTGTGTTGTGCGCCATTTAATCTCACTCCATTATACCCATCTCCATCAGAGCTACTACTTTAGTTACTCGAAAAACTTTACAAAAATGGAAAAAAATCCTTAAATCTTTTCAGACTTTTTCCTATTCTATGAGGTTTAGCATGAATTACACGTCATTCACACAAATATTCACAGACGTTTAGTTTCCTAACGATATGTAGAGATCTTTTAGAACATGTTCAGAAGCGCGTGTGGTACAGTGGTTAGAGGAGATCTACATCGCACACAAGGTCGATGGCTCGATCCCGCGTTCATGGCTCACTAAGCTCTCCATCCCTCCGGTGTAGATGAATTGGTAAAGGGCTTGTCTGGAGAGTAAACAGCATTAACTTGATACATTTGTTTGCCAGCCACCGCGAGTCATCGTTAAGACCAGATATGCATTTAATCACCCGAAAACGAAGCTAAAAATTGAAGATGAAAGCACGGCGCATCCCTCAGGAATCGAGCAACGCCGAGAAGCTTATCCGGCATTGTCTATTATGAGGCGACAAGTGAGAAACTGATCTCATTCGCTGGACAGGAATTTTTCATATTCTGCATGTTCACATGCCCGAAAATCGATGACCACTGCGTCAGTTCACGTGACCGTCTCATTCACCAGCACGTGTATTGGCCAAAGGCCGCTTCGCTCGCGTATGCGAATTCAATTTTGTTTTCCCTCTCTTGCATTGCAAAGAAGCGGTCTTTCCAGAAAATAACACAGCGTTAGAATCAGCAAGCATTACGTTTCGAATGATTAGCGATAGTCCGAAGAAAGAGCTCTGTTCGGGGAGAAACAAGCGCATCTGGGACATAGTTTTGTGTGAATTCTACAACGTTATGAAGGGTCTTTCCAAGAAAAAGTGAGGCTGTAGGTCGAAATTTTAGCTTTCGAATGATTACTAAACTCACACAAAAAGCCCCTTGTGCAGCGAATGAGATCGATCCTTCATTTGTTGCCTCATAATGGACAAGTATACTTACTTTTATCCTTTTCTGCAGACATTTTATAGTACCTGCTAGAGGAGAAGTAGGGTTAATTCGGGTAAAATAGAACAATACCGATCGGAAATCATCTTATTTGACCGCCCATTGCGGTGTTATGATGTTTATATAAACCCAGTGATGTAGAGTGGTATTCAAAAACGTTTGCGTCAGGTGGGATTTGAACCCAGACTCTTTCTAAAGTGGAGTGCAAAACGAGAGTCGGTGGTGGCAACGTTTTAGCAGATGCTCCCGAAAAGAGTAGGATCTGGGTTCGAATCCCGGCTGATGCAAACGTTTTTGCACACCACTCTACATCACTGGGTTTATAGAACAATACCCCTAAAAATCTGGGAAACTGTTTTAGGCCCTTCTGGAACTCGATATGCCGGTTGTGTGGGTACGTTTCAAAGGCCTTGACCGCCTCCTCAGAGCCACACACGCCTCACCAGTCAACTACCCTACTGATCCATCAAATATGATTTTATTTTGACGCCACTAGCGGTGTTATGATGTTACAAAATATACCCAATAGTGTAGAGTGTTGTGCAAAAACGTTTGCCGTCAGCCGGATTTTGAACCCAGACTCTTTCTAAAGTGGAGTGCAA